ATTAATTTTATTATTATTAATATTATTGATAGTATAATAATAATAATATATTTGATTCCAGCATTTTTTTTTGTTATGTTAGACTCGGGTCTGTCGTAGCCAGGGTTGGCTTGTCTGACTTGACCCAGCACTGATGTTAGCCAATGTGAGTGGTAGACGGGCGTTCTTGGTATGCTAATAGCAGTCAGTTAAGAAGTTCAAAATATTTCACAAATGGCATTCAGTATAGATATTTGAAATAATTCACAAATGGCGAAATAAGAAGCACAGAGGTGATTGTTATAACTATACTATACCATCCTTCATGTCAAAGTAATATTTACACACATGGATAAATCAATGTACACTTTCAAAAAGTAATAAAAGAAGTAAATGTTAAAAAAACGGATATGTGTATACAGGCATATATCACACAAAGATGCACAGTGGCATATGTAAATACTCAAATGTATATCTACACATGCGTACCCGGATACACAAGTATACAGTACTTACAGCATAGACACGGATAAAGACACAAACAAATTCCCATGTGGATTCAGCACCAACTGAAGAACGGTCCAAAGAGTTTGAAATGTACGTTATTCGCAAAAAAAAAATGCATATATGGTTTCTAGCACATTTTTTTAGGAGCTTTTTCAAAGATCGTAGAGAATCGAGTTGACTAAAAACGTCTGGTAATTTGTTGAAGATGTCAGGCACCTAAAATGAACGTATACTCTTTCCGTAGTTGGTGTATATTCGAGGAATTATAAAGCGTTCACTATTTCTTATAGAGTGCTGAACAAAATGAGGCGTTTTAAACGGGCTATTCCAATAATGCTTTAGGATAACATATCGTTAAAAAAGAGGGAAAAAACGCGGTAGGCCCACTGATGCGAATACGTCACCATCCTGTATTAATTTGGGATCATAGGCAACGTGTTTGGCGATGCTCTTAAGAGTGACATCTAATTTTGTTCTCCAAAGAGCTGAACAGTTGGCGAAGATTGTAATTCCGTATCGCAGAGCTCCATACGCGGTAGCATAAACGACCATTTTTCTGACGGAGATAGGGAGGAACGTTTTGATGAGATATAATAAACATTACACATTTCGTAGTCTCTTAGCCAAATAATTCAAGTGTGTATTCGATGTTAAATCGCTATCGAAATAAATGCCCAAGTATTTTACTGTATTTACGTATGGTATAGGCGTACAGCTGCAAGAGACACAAGACGATAAATGTAATATAAAAGGTATGTCTATGCATGCCCGCTTGAGAGGGTTACGGAAACAGACAAGTTTTGTTTTTTGCACATTCACGGAGATTCGATTTGCTTCAAACCAGTTCATGACCCTTGTAGAATTTATTTGTAGCATGTTGATTGCACAGCGCAGGCTGATATGAGTCCTTAGCAACAATGTGTCATCTGCATATTGGTAAACTGTACATCCTGATGTTGATCGGGCGAGATCATTCACGTAAAGATTAAACAGCAAGGTGGACAGGACCGAGCCTTGTGGTACTCCTTCCTGTAGGCATACACTGGCGCTTGTTTTGTTGCAAACCAATACTTGTTGCGATCTGTCAGTCAGAAAGTCTTGAAGCAAGAAAAAAAATGGACCCCGAAATCCGTAATTGCAAAGTTTCTCCATCAGTATTTGGTGATTGATAGAATCAAACGCTTTTGACACATCAACGAAGAGTGCGCACGTAAACTGATTATTGTCGAATGAGGTGTGTAACGTATCAGACATATCCTCAAGTGCCGAGATGGTGCTGCGGCCTGCGATAAAGCCGTATTGGTTAGGTGATAGAATATTGTATTTGTCAAGGAAAGCGGTCATTGTTTTAAAAATATGTTTTTCGGGAACCAATGCCAAACAAGGAAGAATAGTTATGGGACGATAGTTCTTTACAATGTCACGTGCACCATTTTTATAAAGAGGTCTGACAATTGCGCTTTTAAAATTTTTTGGGAAAACCCCGGTGTCTATAATTATGTTTAGTATGTGTAGGAGAACACCTTTTAAGACATTAAAATTGCGAAGCAAGTCGCTAAGTTTAATATTATCTATACCAGGAGACTTATGAGACCTGAAGCTAAACAACAACATATGAAGATCTTGTTCAGTCATGTTTGGCTGAAAGGCAGATTTCGGGCAGGGTTTTTCCAGATTTACCGATGAAACATTTTCATCGTCAGATATGCCGGAGACTGAAGCAAAAAAACTATTGAAATTTTCCGCCACAGAAAGCATATGGAATTAAACTTTTTTTCAATAACTTCATCGATAGAGTTCCGCCTATTGCCGCCTTTTACTTCATTCACAAGAGACCAGGTTGTTGCAGTATTAGAACGTGCGTCGAAGAACTTACGTTGGTAGTGTTTCCGTTTCGCATAGCGTATAAGAGCGGTTACTCGATTTCTCTGGCTTGCGTATTGTAATTTTATATCTTGGGAATTTGGTGACCGGCGATAACGCGCCCATAAGATATCTTTACGTTTAATTTCCGATATAATATCTGCTGTCAACCAGAGATGTTGCGGTCTTCGTTTTCCTGTCTTAATGAATTTTATACTCTTCTCCGTAAAACGCGCAAATGCATCAACTAACTATGTTTAGGCAGTCTGACAATTCGTGATGGTTACTAGCTGTTCTCAAACATAGGAGGATATTAATTTGTCAAAAACGTGACTGTCGATAATAGCAATCTGGTTTGAAGGCTTCTTGTTTTCTTCCGATGCAATGCCACAGTCTATTTGGCATGCCACGAAATAATGATCAACCAGCTTTTGTGAGATGACTGCGGATTTCACAGACGCCCCTGAACTCCTGATGTCAATATGATCGAGGCAAGAAAAAAAACAAGTTTTCCGCTTGTGAACTCTTCTCTCGTTAGTACGTTAATAATAGGAGAAATACCGTGGTTAGAAAGAAGCGTAAGGTAGTCACATACGTTCGATCTTGTGGATTTCAGTATGTCAATATTGTAATCGCCCACAAGGCAAATGATCTCACTCTGGCCGATGTTAGCGATGTTTGCGTCAAGCTCATCTAGAAATGATTTAACATTGCTTGATGGAGGTCTATAATACGCCAGAACCAGTGTTGAAATTTGGCTATCGCACATTTTTATGGATAAGTACTCAGCGTGATTAAACGAGAACTTCAATTCAGCACAAGACCACCTCTCTTTAGTGTGAATCGCTATGCCACCTCCGCGAGACGAGTCACGTGTACTAAAAAAGGACCGATATCCACATAAAGAAAATAGTTCTTTGTATGTATCATGTATGTTTATCTCAGCTAGAACAAAAGCATCTACGATGTGTTTAATGTTACGAATAACAACTTGGAACTCGTCCCAGTATTTCTTGATGCTCCTAATATTTACATGTACTATCGTTACTGCTCTATTTACGAGTGGAAAAAAAATTTGCTTAGCGAAGAAAGATCAGTAAATTGTCGAGAATCGTTCATATAGGAACAGCAAGGAGGTTAGCGACTAAACAATTTTCTCAAGGTCAACAGCCTTAGAGACACGCACGGGAATGGAACCTTCAGCTTTTTCTGCGAATATTGTACCATTTTTAACCCACATAAAAGTATATCCTTTTTCTTTGTCCTTTGATCTCGCTTGCCAGAATAGCTCTTTGTTTGCCTTAAAGAGGTTTTCATTAAAATATATTTTTTCCGGGTATTCTACATTAGAAAGCGAGCGGAGTTTTTTTACGGGCACTCATCCATTTTCGTCTGATATCAGTAAAGGCGAATTGAACTAGGATAGGTGGGGTTGAGTCAGGCTTGGCCCGGAGGCGGCGGACATCAAGTATCTCGCTAGCCTGACAATTCTGCAAGTCTAGTTTGACTGAGAGACCCTTCAGAATGGCACCCAAATCCTCGTTCGGAACACGGAATTCCAGAATTTTCCATAATAGATTGGCGATGATCCTGCTCTTTTTCATTTATGTCGGACTGCAGTTGCTGTATCACCAATGCTTGATCAGATACTGTCGACTGCAGAGGGCTAACTTCCGACCTCAGTAACTTAACTTCACTTTCATTGGAGCTGACACGTGCAAGAATTGTGTCGTATTGTTGGGATAAGAACGTTATTAAAGTCTGAACAGCTCCTACGGTCTCTTTTAGGGCCTCAACTGTAGGTCTCATTGATAATAGGACTTCAACGTTTGATGGTAGAGCACTAAGCCTGTCTACACTGTCTTTCAGATTATGCAGAAGATCAAGCTTCTTGTTGACGGCAGCAAGTTGAACCGATATCGTGTTGTAATCACCCTGAGATATCGACGCTGACTCGGTATCAATGAAACTCGAGTGAGTTTTAGATTTCCTGCATGGGCCATATACCCAGATTTTGCGTTTTGCTTAGCTCGTCGTCTTAAATGTACTCTCCGCAATGTGAGAGCATCGTTGGCCAAGATGGTACTGGCTGAAGCACTCGGAGCATTTCATGACTCTCCCATTGGTAGGAAGGGGATCAAGACAGGCACAGCAACTAAGAGACATTTTAACTATAAAAGACGACAAAAAATAAGATATAATTATTGAACGCCACACTCTTCAGTTCGCGGTCAACTTAGACTACAGTACACAAACGTATCAGACGCTCACCTGCCGCAAAACAGTGTGTGTGTCAAGGGTGAATGGGAAATATTAACCGCTGACTAAAGCACAACAGTTCAAGGAAGCTGTCTATGAAGCACAAAATCCAGGGTGCGGGATGTCGGTGCTCCAGTATGCGGTGTCTGCCACCATCAAGCCAGTAAGTCTCGATTACAGCTCTTCACGGCGATGCCGGTGGGTCTAAAACCAGCACAGTCTTCTTGCCCTGCCTATACAGGACGACAACGTTGAACCCACAGCGAGTGAGGGTGACGGCTCATAAGCTAAGTTGCCGAGTTGAAGCACCGATGACATGGATGTGCTGTGGAGTGATTTCTTCCACCATCAAGCCTGTATGTCTTGATTACAGCTATTCACGGCGGTGGTGGTGGTGAACTCTTTATTTCTCCCATAAACAGAGGGGACCAGTCCCAGGACCGGTTGCGCTCGCTTAGAGGAGGTCGGCGGCGATCCCTTGGGATGTCGCGGCCTCCACCGCGCGCTGGATAAGCCGGCGTTGGTCTTCCGGCTCGGACGAACGCAGGAGGGACTCCCACGTCTCTGGGGTGTTTAAGTTGTCTGTGTTGTAGTGTGTACATGTCCACACCATGGGTATGAGGGTGCCTGGAGCTGAGCAGTGTTTGCACCTGGGTGCTATCTGTTGTGGAAAGATTTTATTGTATAAAAGCGGGTGTGGAAAGCTGCCTGTTTGTAGTTTGCGCCATTGGACGGCCTCGCGTCTTGTTAGATCGCGGTGTGCGGGAGGATACGTGTATCTTTTGAGTCGGTAGTACTGGAGGATATCTGTGTACGTGGTGAGTATAAACGCGCGTGAACTAATAGTGTCAGGGAAAACAGGGAGGTGGGTCACTCTCTCGGCTCGGCAGCTAAGTTCTCGGGCGAGAGTGTGCGCCTCGGCGTTTCCTCTGAGTGACTGCCGACGGTTGTAAGACCAGCACAGCCTTCTTGCCCTGCCTGAACAGGACGAGAAGGCTGAATCCACAGCGAGTGAGGATGACCGCTCTTAGGCTAAGATGCCTAGTTGAAGCAACGAGGACATGGATATGATGTGGAGCAGGACCAATGTATAGCACCGCAGCCATCTTGAGAGATGAAGCAGAAGGCCGAAGTCAAAGCGACGATTTGGCTAGAATCCACAATAGTTGAAGACTTTCTCATGTTGTATCCTAACCCGCAACCCACCTTCATGTAATATTTGGGGGGGTGGGGGCGCCAAGCCTTCGGCAAACCAGAATTTAGTCGATATATTGCGAAGCAATTGAAAAGAACGTCTGTTTGAAGACACTTTTTCTTCTCTGTATGACGTCAGGGATAGTAATAATAATAATAATAATAATAATATTCGCGCTTGGGGAAGAATATTGAGTCCGAAATCGTCTTGAATCAGCATTGCGACACTGCGAAGCGCATGTCTGAGTTGTTTGCGGATCACTTTGCGTCAGTTTACATTAATAATAATATCTGCTCCTCAACTATTTTGCCTCACTCGGACGTACTTGGTGACTCATTAGGTTCTGTGGTTCTCGATGAGGGATGTGTTAGGATATGTATTAACAAAATGAAACCCATATTGTTTGCAGGTCATGACAGGATAGCCGCTGCAATTGTTAAGGGTTATCATGAATTACTTACGCCTCTACTGTGCACAATTTTCAATAACTCCTTGACGTCAGGGATATTCCCTGACGACTGGAAACTGGCAGTGGTTGTTCCGGTCCTGAAATCTGGAAATAGTGGTGAGGTTCTTAATTACAGACCAATTTCTCTTCTCTCTTCTTTTTCCAAACTTTTTGAAATGGTAATCCATCAATTCCTCTCCCTCAAGTTTCGTAGTATAGTAATTTCTAATCAGCATGGCTTCATGTCCGGCAGATCGACATCCACCAATCTCGTATCTTTTACGTCTGCTGCCACTGAAGTAGTTTGTAATAATGGTCGGCTTGGCGTTATTTTTATTTCGACCTGAGTAAGGCATTCGACGTAGTCAACCACAATGTTCTCCTATACAAGCTTTCCTCGTACGGAGTATGTGGTTCGGTATACAATTTGTTTAAAAGCTATTTGTCTGATAGGCAACCCTGCGTCCGCGTCAATAATACTACCTCGTCCTTGTATAAGGCAAACTCTGAAGTGCCTCAGGGATCTCTATTGGGCCCCCTCCTTTTTAATATTTTTGTAAATGATGTCTCGCGAGTTATATTAAATTCTTCATTTCTGTAGTACGCTGATATAAAACTTTACAAAAAAAATGAAAGCCGTTTACAATTCCCCGTAACGCCGGTTAGAGTGCAGCTCTTGAGGAGGAAGATGGAAGCGTACTGAGGGATAGGTGACTCCTTGAGATCAAGTGACCTAAGGGGTCTCGCGTGACGTCAGGGGGGTCACGTGACATCGGGGGTCGCGTGACTTCAGGGGGTCACGTGAACTCAGGGGGGTCACGTGTCCCCAAGGGGGGTCACGTGACCTCAGGGGGTAACATGGCCTCTGTGGGGTCACGTGGCCTCAGGGGGTCACGTAACCTGAGGGGGGACACGTGATATGAGGGGGGTCACGTGGCCTGAGGGGGTCACGTGACCTAAGGGGTCACGTGACATCAGGTGGTCACGTGACCTGGGTGGGTCACGTGACCTCAGGTGGTCACGTGACGTCGGGGTCACGTGACCTCGGGGGGTCACGTGACCTCGGGGGGGTCACGCGACCTCGGGGGTCACGTGACCTCAAGGGGGTCACGTGACCTCAAGGGGGTCACGTGACCTCAAGGGGGTCACGTGACCTTAAGGGGGTCAGGTGACCTTAAGGGGGTCACGTGGCCTGAGGGGGTCACGTGGCCTGAGGGGGTCACGTGACCTCGGGGGGGGGGGGTCACGTGACCTGGGTGGATCACGTGACCTCGCGGTTACGCCGACGGCGACGTCGACGCCGACGCCGCTCAAGCCGGAAACGGGCCCCTAAGAGCTGCACTCTAAAATGAAAGCCGCTTACAACTCCCTGTAACGCCGAAGTAGAGTGCAGCTCTTGACGAGGAGGCGGAGGAGGGAAGGGTACTGGGGGTGGGTCTAGTGACTTCGGGTGGCGGGGGTCCTGTGACCTTGGGGGAGTCATGTGACCTTGTAGGGGTCACGTGACCTTGGGGTGTCACATGACGTCGGGGGGGGGGGGGGTCACGTGACCTGGGGGTCACGTGACGATACCGATGACGTCACCAATGACGTCACTGATGACGTCTTCAGTGACGATGACGATGTGGATACCGATGACGTCACTGATGATGCCATCAGTGATGATGACGATGACGATGCGGATGCCGGTGACGTCATCTGTGACGTCACTGATGACGTCATCAGTGAGGATCGCGATGACGATGCAGATGCTGGTGAGGTCATCAGTGACGTCAATGATGACATCATTAGTGATGATGACGATGACGATGCGGATGCCGATGACGTCATCAGTGGCGATGACGTAAACGGGAGTCACGTGACTTCGGGGGGAGGGGGTCACGTGACCTCAGGAGGGGGTCACGTGACCTGGGTTACCATCGTGACCCTCGTGAGGGTAACCCTAGTAACCCTTGTGAGGGTAACTCTCATAACCCTCGTGACCCTCGTAAGGGTAACCCTTTTAAGTGTAACTAACCCTTGTAACCCTCGTGAGGGTTACGAGGGTTCCTCGTAGCCCTCGTGAAAGTAACCCTCGTAACCCCCGTAACCCTCACAAGGGTTACGAGTGTTACTCGCGGTTACTCCGACGGCGACGGCGATGGCGACGCCGACGGCGATGGCGACGCCAATGGCGACGGCGACGCCGCTCAAGCCAGGAACGGGCGCCAAAGAGCTGCACTCTAAAAAGAGAAAGCCGTTTACAACTCCCTGTAACGCCAAATCGGTGCGCAGCTCTTGAGGAGGAGGAGGGAAGGGTACTGAGGGGAGGGTACTGACGAGGAGGAGGCAAGGGTTCTGAGGGGAGGGTGACCTTGGTCACGCCAACGGTGACGGCGTCGCCGTCGCCGTTGGCGTAACGAAGGTCACCCCAAGGTCACGTGACCCCTCCTAAGGTCACCCAAGGTCACGTACCCCCAGGTCACTCCAAGGTCATGTGACCCCTCCCAAGGTCACGTGAATTCCCAGGTCTCGTGACCCCTTCCATGGTCACCTCAAGGTCATGTGACCCCCACGTGACCCCCGAGGTCACGTGGCCCCCTCCCCGAGGTCACGTGACCCCCCTCCTCCCCCCCCCCAAAGTCACGCGACACGCCCCCCCCCCCCGAGGTCACGTGACCCCCCCCCAAGGTCACGTGACCCCCTCACCCCGAGGTTAGGTGACTCCCTCGGAGCATATTAAAGAATGAGGGGAGGAGAAGGAGGAGGAGGAGGAAAGGTCTACCCTCCTTTCAGTACCCTTCCTTCCTCCTCCTCAAGAGCTGCGCTCCAATTCGGCGTTACAGGGAATTGTAAACGGCTTTCACTTTTTAGAGCGCAGCTCTTAGGTGCCCGTTTCTGGCTTGAGCGGCGTCGCTGTCGCCGTCGGCGTAACCAACTTCACCCCAAGGTCACGTGACCCCCAAGGTGACGTGACCCCAAGGTTATCCCAAGGTCATGTAACCCCCAAGGTCACCACAAAGTCACGTGACCCGCAGGTCGTGCGACCCCCAAGGCCACGTGATCCCTCCCAATGTCACGTGACCTCTGGAGGTCACGCGATTCCCCCGGAGGTGACGTGACTCCCCCCGAGGTCACGTGACCCCCGAAGTCACGTGACTCCCCTGAGGTGACGTGACCCCCGAGATCACGTGACCCCCAAGGTCACGTGACCCCGGATGACGTCAAAATCACTGATGACGTCACCGACATCCGCATCGTCATCGTCATCACTAATGTTGTCACCGGCATCCGCATCGTCGTCGCCATCATCATTGATGACGTCACTGATGACGTTACCGACATCCGCATTGTCATCGTCATTATCATCGGTGACGTCATCAGTGACGTCACTAATGACATCATCGGTATCCGCATCGTCATCGTCACTGATGACGTCATCAGTGACGTCACTGATGACATCATCAGCATTGTCATCGTCACGTGACCCCCAGGTCACGTGACCCCCCCCTCCGGTCAGTTGACCCCCCAGTACCCTTCCCTCCTCCTCCTCAAAAGCTGCGCTCTAATTCGGCGTTACAGAGAGTTGTAAACGGCTTTCACTTTTTTAGAGCGCAGCTCTTAGGCGCCCGTTTGCGGCTTGAGCGGCGTTGTCGTCGCCGTCGGCGTAACCGCGCGGTGCGTTATGGGTAAATTTTCCCGCTAAATCTAACGGAAACATTTCCCCGCAAAATCTAGCAGAAAAATTTCCCCGCTAAATCTAGCGGAAAAATTTCCCCGCTGTCTAGCGGAAAAATTTCCCCGCTAAATTTAGCGGAAAAATTTCCCGGCTAAATCTAGCGGAAAAATTTCCCCGCTGTCTAGCGGAAAAATTTCCCCGCGAAATTTAGCGGAAAAATTTCCTCGCTATAGCGGAACAATTTCCCTGCTAGATCTAGCGGAAAAATTTCCCCGCTAAATTTAGCGGAAAATTTCCCAGCTAGATCTAGCGGAAAAATTTCCCCACTAAATATAGTGGAAAACTCTCCACGTTAAATCTAGCGGAAAAATTTCCCCGCTAAATGTAGCGGGTCAATTTTGGTCACGTGACCGGGGGAATCACGTGACCTGGGGAGTCACGTGACCCCTCCCCCTTGGTCACGTGACACCCCCAGGTCACGTATGCCCCCTCCGAGGTCATGTGACCTCAGGAGGGGGTCACGTGACGTCGGAGGCGGGTCACGTGAGCCTTTCCCGTATGTCACGTGACCCCCCCCCCCCCCGAGAACACGTGGCCCTCAGTACCCTTCCCTCCTCCTCCTCAAGAGCTGCGCTCCAATTCGGCGTTACAGGGAGTTGTAAACGGCTTTCACTTTTTTTGCTCGTTTTTTTAGTGTGCCAGCACTAAGACCGATTGGTTGTTCCTAGACACTTTAATAAACATTGATTGATTGATTGATTATTATATGAATTTTGCCTAAGCTCTGAGCCAGACATCTTTTTAC